CTTATTTCCAACAATCTTTGGCCATGGTAGTCCAATAGTATCCTTGTCTTTTGACTTTTTGAGCTAGATGTGCTGCCCCTATGTGTCCTCCTTTATCATGTAGTTCTTTGAGCACAGAGTCAACCTCAGGTTGGTCAATACATTTCAAAAGGATTCCTTCAAAAGACTTTGTGTAAAGTCTGTTGTTGTTGATCAAGAAGTTGATTGAGAATCTTCTTAGGGCATTTTCATCTCTCTTTGAGATTCCTTCGGGATAAGTTCTATCTTTTAGGAGGATTTATACATTATGATACCAGGGTCTGCCTTTGAAAATCTGGATGAATTCGAGAGTGAATGTTTCTTTTTCCCTTTCTAGTTCTTGATCATCTTCTTCTGGCTCTATCTTGGGAGGATAAGGATCACTTTTATGTCTGATATAGAATGGTTGAATGCTCATTTGGGGAGGAATGTCCACCATTAATGCGAGAATGGATAAGGTATCGGTGAACCAGTTGTTTTCTATAATCACATGTTGAAAAGTTATTCTTTGAAGCCATTTGACAGCTTCTTAATTGACTACTGGTAGGGTTGGAGAGTTTTGTCCCTAACCTTCCACTCCCCATTGGTTTGATTTATTACAAGAAGAGAATCATCGATGAGCCGTAATTGTTCAATTTGGAGTTCACAGGCATTCTCAAGACCATCTATTAGGGCTTCATATTCTGCAATATTATTAGTGCAGGAAAAATTGAGCCTTATAGCTATTGGAACCATTATTATCTCTAGAGAGCATAGGATGACTACGACACCAGTGTAATATTCATTCCTAGCCTTGTTAAAGTATGGCTCCCAAGTAAGATCCTAGATGATAAAGAGGTCCTCATCAAGGAGATCTGTTTTGATGGGCATGCAATCAGGTAAGGCATGCTCGGGTAAGTGATTGGCAATTGTTTGCCCTTTGACTAATTTTTTAGTGACATATTCAATGTCAAATTCACTTAAGAGCATCCTCCACTTCGCTAGTCCCCCATTAAGAACATGTCTTTCTTGTAGGTACTTGAGTGGATCCATCTTGGATATTAGCTTGATAGTATGAGATAAGACATAATGTCGCAGCTTTTGAGCTGCCCACACTAAGGTTAAACAATGTTTTTCCATATCAAAGTAACATGTTTCATAATCAACCATTGTCCTACTGATGTTAAAGATGGTCTTCCCTATTCCTTGATTGTTGTACTGCCCTAGTATCACCCCCATTGTCTTGTCTGTAACAGCAAGGTAAAGGAACATGGTTTTATTGGGATTAGGTGAATTCAAGATCAGTGGGGTAGACAGGTACTCCCTTATGCGGTCAAAGGCTTATTGACATGCCTCTTCCCAGATAAATGGGGTGTCCTTCCTTAGCAGGCGATTGAACATACCACATTTCTCAGCTAATTGGGAGATGAATCTCAAAACAACTTGGATCCTACCTTGCAACCCATGTATTTCTCGTATTTTTTAGATGTAGCATTTCTGAGATAGCCCAAATTTTCATTGAGTCTACTTATATACCTCTTTGACTCAGAATGAAGCCAAGAAGCTTGTCAGACTCGACACTGAAGGCATACTTCTGAGGATTCACCTTTAGCTGGTGCTCTTGGAGTCGGTCAAATAGTATTTTTAAATTGGCAAGGTGGGCATCCCTAGTTTTGGATTTGACTAAAATGTCATCCACATAGTCTTCCATGATGTCTTACATTAAGTCATGGAATATAGCAATCATGGCTAGGTTGCCACTTCAATTTTTGGACTGAAAGGCATGACTCTATAGCAGTATGTTTCCCATTGCGTGATGAAGGAAGTCTTCTCTTGCTATGAGGATATGATTTTAACCAAAGAAACCGTCTACGAAGGATAGCAGTTGGTCTTCAGCAGTGCTGTCAACTAGGGCATGTACATTTGGAAGAAGAAAGTCATCCTTTAGGACAGGCTTTGTTTAAATCCCTGTAGTCGACACACTTTCTTATTCTTTTATCTTCCTTAGGTACTACCATATTATTGGCTAATCAATCTAGATAGTCCACAGCTAACATGAAATTGGCCTTCAAAAGCTTATCAATCTCTTCTTTTATCTTCAGCTCCAAATGAGGCTTTTGTAAGCACAGTTTTTGTTTTACGGCTTTTGCCCTTTTATGGAATAAAGATGGTATTATACCAATTCAAGATTTAGGCCGGGCATGTCATCATAAGACCAAGCAAAGACATCTATGTATTCGTTTACGAGGTTGATCATCTTACCTTGTGCTTCCGGTGATAGAGAGATTCCTATTTTTGTAATTTTTGGATTTCCATTAGTTTCTAAGTTGATGTCTAAGGTTTCCTCAACAATAGGAATAATACTACCGTCAAATCTTGTCTTAGATTTTGAGCTGCCATTTCTTTTAGGTCTCATCTGCCTTTCTTTTTATTATGACCTCAATTTTGATCCATTTTCTGTAAATTTTGAGGCATTTTGAAGCTACTTATTTTGTCCATAAGATCATGAAATTCATTAATATGATTGAATTTGATTTTTAGGTTGATTTCACAAGATACATATTAATACATTTTTGTGTTTTTTGAATAATTAATATTAAATTTATTTGATGTATGAATTTTGACAAATATATGTTCTTGAGACACACAATATAATAATGCTTTCTTTTGTTTTTCTTGTAATTATATTAAATTCTTTTTCATGAATTTATAATTATCATAAGAAAATAAGTTTTATTTTTCAAATTTATTGTCAAATTTTTTAAGGCAATAAAATGTATGTTGCTGATACCTAATTATTATTTTTTTAATACATAAAATGTATGTATGTTTTCAATTCATAATTTACAATTAAATTATTTTTCTTAATAAAATTAGGGATTTTCACCAATATATGTTCTTCTTTCTTTTAATGATATGAATAAATGGTTAACAAACATCTAGACAGGAAAACATCATATCAATATTAATCTATTTTTACAAAATAATGACAGTACATAAGGAACCACTACTAATTTCTTTTATAAACTAAAAAAACACTATTTTTAGAGATTTAAAGTGATTTTTGTAAAAAACATTTGGTACAAATATTACCGATTTGGCTGATTCTCTGATCCGATCCACTAATCCAACATAGGTATGAGTGCGATAGATCCGATCCGTTCTTTACCCTTGGGTTGGACTTATGACAATGTGGACTCCTCCATTTAATTGGTGATTAAACCATTTAAACGATCCATGGTCAATGTGGGGCTTCAATGTTTTTGGAGCAAGAAGATTTACGCTCTTGAGGAAGTAGACTTTGCATTTACTCTCTCACGGTTAAAACTTAAAAGGAAAAGTTTATATAAGGTTGCAACCTTTTAAAATGTAGGATTACATATGCACCTAAAAAATCTATCGAAAAGGTTGTTTTAATGTTGAAAAACCTTCTATTTGATCATCACGACATCGAGACGTATAAATATAAAAAAAAGAAAGTTTTTAAATATCAGAAATGGTACGTCTTGCAACACATTATCTAGACCGTCCATTTTCAACATTTTCATATGTTTATGGATCTCCTTGATTTTAACCATTTTTTGAATTTAAAATTTTTTAATTACATATGAAAATAGATTTTAAGATAATCCTAAAAAAATTTTATAACAGAATTATATGTTATGATAAAATTTAAAGGTGCGCCTTAATTGGATTGTTTAAAGTTGCAATCTTATAGAAACCGCACCTAAACTTAAAACTCATATTAGCAGTAGTTTTTGGGCCCCATGTTTTGAGGTAGCCTACAAGACCTAATCAATAACATCTCACGAAAAAATGCAAGGGTTTGTATATTATAAAACTATTTAACATTGGTTGAAGCAAGTTAGAATCATCAATAGCTGTCAATGTTTGACGGCTGGCTTGAATGTAACAAATAGTTAAAAAAAATTATTCTAAATTTCTATCCTATCAATGGAACAAGGGCGCAGTTGGCATGCAGATGCATCCGCAGGTGTGGAGGTCAAGTATACCTTCAAATTTATCATGGTATATAATTTTGATGTAAAATGTTCTTAGGATTATCGCAAAATCTATTTTTATATCTAATTATTAAATTTTAAATTTAAAAAATGGTTAAAATCAAGTAGATCTATAAACATAGAAAAATCTTAAAAATAGACGATGTAGATAATATGTTGTAAAATACACTATTTTTGAGATTGAAAATCTCTTTATTTTTCATAGTCATACATCTCAATGTCCAGATGATCAAAGGGTTTTTTCAACATTAAAACTACCCTTTCTGATGGATTTTTGAGGGGCATCCGTAGTTCCACATTATACGGTTGCATATTTATATAAACTTTTTCCATGTAACAAATACAATACCCAATTACATAGCGGTCAAGATTTTTATTGTATACTTTTACAAAACATAAATAATATGGGCCTCAAAAAATTGACGTCCTAAGATTGAACAACAACTAGCCAATATTTGGAGAGCAACATCTAGTTTATCAAGAACTTAAATTTTTTTTTTTTTCTTGAAAAAAAATCAGATGGTAATACATCGATGGATCCCAAAATAATATCCCAAATTATTATTTTGCCTGAGGGAGTTCTTTTGTTCTACTTTAGAGTATGACAATTTAAAAAAGAAAAATTATAGAATCCCCTTCGCTAGAACAATCTCCTCAAAATACCCCTCCTTGAAAAGAGGCCTAAGATCTAAAAATTGAATATCAACCACCTGTTGGTTTACAAATTTAGATTGCTTAAAAACTTCACTTAAAACCTGAAAGTTTCTAAATGACAATTCAATAAACAATGGAGGAAAACAGGACTCTTTCAAAACCTCCCTTGACCTTCTTTCCCCTTGATGCACTGGTTCTTTCAACTTTTCAATCAATCAAACTACCCCCAGAATAAAAAAAAACTTTTGAATCATTCAATCTCACTTCAAAGAAAGCGCGTGGCCTCTGTATTCTCATATCTATCTCTTCCCAACTCCAACTCTTCCATCTTTAGTCAGCAGCAAAGAACAGAGAGATGAATCCCTCACTTGTGACCCTCCTCTTATTTCTCTCACTGAAATTTCTTGCTCGGGCTGCCATGGCTGCCATTCCAACAGGTAACGTCTGTTTAGGCACCACAAATTACACAAGTAACAGCCAGTATGAGCAAAACTTAAACCAACTCCTACAATCCCTTCAAGCCAACGTCCCTGTTTCTGGAGGCTTCAACTCCACCACCTTGGGCACGAGCCCCGACCAAGTATTTGGTCTGGGCCTGTGCAGGGGCGATGTGAAGACAACAGAGTGTACAAAGTGCATCAGCAATTCAACCTCTGAAATCCTGCGACTATGCCCCGGCAGTAAAGAGGCAATCGCGTGGTACGATACCTGTATCGTCCGTTACTCTGATTCCAACTTCTTTGGTACTGTTGATGGATATCGTGGCGGGCTGCTCAACACACAGAATGTCTCTGATGTTACCTCTTTTCGGGAGGCTTTGGGTACGCTTATGCGTGACCTGTCGTCCACGGCGCCTTATAATCCATTAATGTATGCCTCTGGTCAGGCTGTGTATGCGGATTTTTTTACCTTCTATGGGCTGGTGCAGTGTACTAGGGACCTCGATGCCCCGCAATGCGAGGTCTGCCTTGAGAACTTGATTCAAAAGATTCCAAGTTGTTGCAGTGATAAATTGGGAGGACAGATTATCAGCGGCAGTTGTTTTTTGCGATTTGAGGACTCGCGCTTCTTTACACCCTCCACAACAACGGCACAACCACCTTCGCCTCCCTCCTCAAGTTAGCAAATGTTTTCCCTCCTTGTGTTTCAGTATAAGTTCCTTTTGAATCTACTGTTACCAAATTAAAGATCTTTTTTAACATTATATTAAAAGGCGAGTATGTGATGGAGACGGTGTTCTGAAAACCTGGCCGGGTTGAACTAGAACTGGCCAAGTTACTCGAAACCGGCCACAGGCTTACGCCTGTTGGGGTCGTCAACGGGCTAGACCACCCTAACTTAGAAGACAAACTCAAAAGGAAATTATAAATTTTTTAAAAAATATAAAAAAAAAATATTTGTCATAAGTTTTTTAATATTTTCAGGTGTTTCGGACAAAATTGGGAAGTATTTCGGCCATAAATATTTATTTATACATTTTCCATCTTTTCTGATTTTTTTTTTTTAAATATCCTTTAGGCAAAAATATTTTTTTTCAAAATCCATTTTTTATTTTTTATTTTTTATTAATCTCATTTGAATGGATTTTATTTAATGATAGTTTAAACATATGTTTCCTAATTTTTTGAGATTTTTTTAATATTTTTTTTAGTTCTTGTGATTCCAGTTGGGACTTGCCGGTGAAGGCGGGTTACCCTGACCAGTTTTGGCTTACTCCACCTAGCCAATGGCTGGGCTCCGAGGCCCGTTCATGAAATTGAACACTGGATGGAGAAATTTAAGCAATCAGTGCCATTCATCCGAGGGATGGAAAGAAAAGCATTGCATACATGAGACATGAGTTTGTTGAGGGAAGTGATGCTAAGGGCAAAACAGACCAACCAGTTTCAACCCCAACTTTGTAAGCGCAGGTCTGCCCTCCGGAGTGGATGGTCTGGCTCCACCCGACCAGAACCGGCGGGGCCTAATGGGTAAAAAGAAATATAAGAAACAACTTTTTCAAATATATTTGATTGATGTTTTATTTATTTATTTTTTTGTAATTCAACTGCTTTAAAAGTATTTTAAAAAATAGGTTTAGTTTTTGGGTTATCAAAAGTAGATTAAAGCAGCTTCAATGTTTTTTTTGGCTCTTTCCCAACCTGAAAATCGTTATTTATTGGCAAATTATAGGCCTTCATATGGCCCTACTTCAAGATACATGTAGTTTATTAAGGGAAAAGTATATATAGAACCTAGGCTCTAAATAATCAAATTAGAGGCTACCTCAAAATTTTCATCGGAAGAGGTTGTTCTGATGCTTAAATATTCTCAAATTGATCATCTCGACATCAATATGCATGAATTTGATAAAAAAATGGATTTCAAGTTTTGGAAATAGTGCATATTGTAACACATTTTTCGAATGTCAATTTTTAAGTTATTCAAGTTTTAATAGATCTGTTTAATCTACACTATTTTTAAAGTTTTAAATTTTTGAATTAAAATTTGAAAATACATGTTAAGGCTAATCAAGGATTTCAAGTATTGAAACCCCAACTATTTGAGGGTGGGCTCTAATTTAATTATTTAGAGCCTCGACTCTATAGAAACCACACCTTTTTATTAATGCCATTTTTATGATGGTTTATTTTATATTTAAAAATAGAAAAAATTAAAATTTTAGGGTTTTCACAAAAAACAAAACTTCTACTTTTTCGTTTCAAATTGTTGCAATAGTTTGTTTCCAGTACTTATGTAAATGGTTATTTTCTTCTACGTTATTTTTTTTACATTTTTGCTTCATTACCCCATCAAGGGGACCAATGATAAAATTGGAAGAAGAAAATTTGTATTTCATATAATGGATGGCTTCTTTCATTGATGATGGCTTCTTTCATTGTTAATAAGCCTTCACTTATTTCTTGTTGAGTTGTTTTTTCTTTTAACAATTTTTTAATTTTCTCACTTATTTGTCTTTATTTTTTGATTTTTCTTAATTTTCTTATTTCTGTATGTTATCTTATATTGGACAATTTTAATTTTAATTTTTTTTCTAACAATCATACCGATGAACTGGTTCCTATAGGCCGTTGCAACCAAACCAATACCCTCACTGGTTGGGCCAACAGTGTCTTAAGATCAAACAAAATTGTTTCTTGAGAAAACAAGGAAAAAGTAAATAGATGAAAAGACCATTTACTGTTATACAAGAAACACACAATCACTCTTCCTTCGATTTCAAATTATGTGGTTATAAAAGTATCACTCAAAAGACTCAATGTTAAAAAAAAAAAAGATTTCTTAAACTTCATGACTAGCCCATGTCATCCAACTTGACATCAAATGTGTAGGAGCAATTGTGACCTCTTTGTAATAAAAATAAACAA